CGGAGGAACGGGGAGGAGGATCGAGAGAGTGCAACTCCTACGGGTTGAGACAAGAACAGTCCAGCAACAAATCACCACTGCTACTATCAACTACAACAATGATAAGGGAAAATAACTAGGGAAGAGAATACGATACCACCGGCCAAGAAAAACGAGCTCCACCCGGAAGCCCCTGTCCTTCCGGGTAACTCCCAGTTACCCCTCACCCCGGGCATGACGTGCTGTGGTATGGAATACCTCCCCAGCTAGCCCGGCTCAGGCGCCCCGTCTCTGCTTCCTCACAGCCTCCCCTCCTCCCTGGCAGAGCATGAGCCTCACAAAGTCCTTGGCCAAACCAAAATATCCTTGTTATCAGCTCTGCTCCCGAGCTGAAAGTCAAAACACTGCACTGCACCAGTTAACACAAAGGAGAAACATGACTGCTACTGCGGAACCCAGGACAATAGCTTATATACATTATGTTGTGTGAAATATATTTTTATATTTATATGCTTGTAAATTATACACTTATAAGAAATGAACATTAAGTCAAATTTTTTTCCATATACTTTGATCTTTGAGCAGAGTATCAAAATTCAGCTGTTTCCCCAGAATTTTTCCTTGCTATTTTTGTCTCTTACTCCCTATTTCTGACATTAACCGCTACAATTTGACTGTCTCACACAGCAAACATTCCCAACAGTTCTCCATCTCCTTCTCTGTTTGCATTTCTCTCTCTTTTTGTTTGCACGGTTCTCATTTTCAGAGTTTCTTCGTTCAGTTCAGTCTCTCAAAATTTGCCACATGGCTCTCTCCTTTTGTAAGTGTAAACTTCTCCATACCACAGCCAGGTGCTTTATTAGGCTCATTATGATGTAATCAAGAAGTATGAATCCCAGGCGCAGCTACAGGTTGGGCAGAGAAGAGATACAGAACAACCTTGTGGAGAAGGACTTGGGGGTGTTGGTTGATGAGAAAATGAACATGAGCCGGCTTCAGTGTGCAGGCATCCTCAGTTACTGTGCACTGGCTCTATTGATAGAATGGTGTTGGTATCCACCAGCTGTTAGGCTCCTTTCTGAGGAAACTAGAACTTAGGTGCACAACAGGCATACACCATATCTGATCCCCAAGGGACTACATGGAGTGTTGAACTGGTGACTAGTCAGCATTGCAGCATGTCTATGGGGAGGATATTTAGCTCAGAGGACCCAACAAAATCTAATCCCAAGTCCCAAAACTACATAGAGATTGGCTGCAAGTCTTCCAACTGCAGCTGCCCCAATGTAGTGATCTTCTCCAGTTGTGCTAAATTGCATGCTAGTATGGATGTAGACATATTTTTTTCAACAACACTAAGTTGTTGTCCATTTTGTCTTGGCCTGCTGAAGAGTGAAAGTGTTACAGAAACAGGATATTGAGGAAAGTGTTCTGCTTGAAGGTGCCTGAAAAATTCATAGCAGTTATGAGTGAGTTCCACATTTCATAAAGATGTAATAATGCTCCTAATGCAATAGCATGCAAAAGTTCCTTAATAGCTTCAAATACATATAATCTATATTATTTCAATGAATGTTTTAGTTCTTTCAATAAAGTGAAGAATGATATCTCCAAAATAATGTCTGGAAAGAGATGAGTGACTGATTCTTTGTGTTTCAATAACTGAGCTTGGAAGCCTCAGGACAAAATTTAGGTTGTAGTGTTCACAAAAGCGGAGTTGTCAAATGCTATCACTTTATTGTTTCTTTGAATTCCTTTAGGTAGTTCATTATTAAGACCATTCTGACGGTTGAACCTCTTCAGATATCGCATAAGAGAGCTGTGATATTTAACCCCAGGCTATGGAGATTGCTGTGACAGGAGACAGGACATCTTATGCTTCATACTGCTGCACTGAAGTTATTTTCTGGAGGTGCTTTTTCAGAAAATTGCAACTCCATTCACAATGCAGTGTGGCTAATCTTTCTGAAGGAAGCAGACTCCAAAAAGAACATTTGAAAAGTGAGAACATGGGGCTAGGGTTAAAAAAACAATGGATGAAGTAAGCCGTGCCATATAGCCCATGCCACACACCCCTTTGTTGTCAACACGAAATGTAGATATAGCAGGGAAAGAAGTATAAATTTTCCACCTATGATTCCACAAACAAGAATTTATAGACTACCCAGTGTACACCACATGTCAAATTCATACTCCATTCTAAAAAAGTGCATAGGAAAGCCTTTCAGCAGCTGTTCTCCAAAGGTGCTATTAAGTCTGTACTCCAGCATGGTCAGGAACATTCAGAGAGAAAAACTCTGTGGGGATTATTACAACCACACAGCTGTAACTTGGCAGATAGATAAAGGTTACTCAGAGAAGGTAAATAATTTCCTGGTTCACTGTAGAACTAAATCACAAAAGTACCATTGCTGATTCCTAAGATAAAAACACGGGTTTTCTTAGGTATAGCACCATGGGACCACTTGAAAAATCCTTCCTGGAAATCACAGGAAAAGCACATGCACGTTTTATGAACTAAGTTTGAAGATAGGGGTAGTATTGCCCAAAACAAATTTGTTATTTTTGTTCTTTTCTGTTTTGTTTTATTTTGTTGGGTTGGATTTATTTTTTTTTTCATTTCCAAATTTCTCAATCTTCTTAAAACTGATAATAAAATAAAGGCATAGTTACTAGGTGCAACCAATTCTGGCATTCCAAAAAGACAGAAATCTGTAATTTAGTAGTTATTATTATAATCAAATTATAACCAAAATATAGTTTAAGTAAAGACCATAATATTCATAGTTTGATTTACGTATTCATAATCAACAGCTTTTAAGAAACCCTAGTTCTCTGCTATTAAGTCTCTTATCTAGAATATTTTTTCTTTCCTTCCTCTGCTTTGTAGAAGTCGACATTTTCTTTTCACTCTTCCCTGCTCTATCATTTCTAACTTTAACCCCTTGCCATATAATTTTGCTCTATCATTTAGCCTCTTTCCAAAGCCTAGAATAAGCAAGGTATAATCTTTTATAAACTCTTTTCCTATGTGGCTGCATTAGTGGAATCTACGTTCTGATTCGATAATCTGTTTAATATAAATCTGTTCATGTTGTACAATTAAAGTCTGAACTGGAATTTGAGGGAAAGGAATAAGTGAAAGAACATTTCATTGTGCCTATGAATGAATAAAAGAGAAAAGGATAACATAGTAAGAATTTACTGTAGGCATCTTGTTATAAAGAGAATATAGATGAGGATATTTGAAAGCAAATAAAACTACCAGAGGGTTTCACATGTTAATAGTAGTTGTTTGTTCTTAAAGTTATACAGGGAAATAGGATAGAACCATCCAAAACTTCTTGAAATAGTCCTGGCACACTGGAAAGGAATCAGAAATTTAGTTTTAATGAATATCGAAGAAGAAGGTGATATTTTGAAGTCAGTAAGCAGTCTTTGTGAATTATTAAGAGACAAGTTTTGCAGAAATAGAAGCATTATGAGAAAAACAGACCAAAAAACAGTTCAACAGACTCAGGTACCTGCTGGCTCCTAAAGGAGACATTACATATGAGATGCTAAAATGCACAATATGCAGGAAAGATTTAGAAATAGACAAACACATCTGTATTATAAGGCCTTTAATGACCTCCAAGTAGAGAATGCAACGACAGGATTTGCACAAAAATATCACAGAGAGAAAAGTCAAAGAGGTGAAGCTGCAAGATGACTTACCATTAGCAAAGAACATAGAAACAAGAAATTTTACCTGTGTTTAGACACACAGATGTACGTAACTACACTGGAGGAGAATGAAAAGAAATGCATCAATCTTATGCTTAGAAAGACAGAATTGTAAATGATGGATTTAAGAAATAGAGTAAAATAGTCAAAGTCTTTTCCTCTTTTCACAAAAATTCTTAATCATTAAAATGATAGATTTTAAAAATAGGCGTTTGGACCAAATAAAGGGAAATAGAAGTTTGGAGGATATTTAGATGATCAGAAGACCTGATGAATTCATTTCATACTACCAGGGAAACTAGTTACATCTGTTTAGCTATGCTGTGCTAAGACATTTATTATTAGCAGTACAGGAAGGAAGAGGTAGGTAAATACAGCAGCTTTCTCTGAAGAGTAACAAGGGTGAGAGGAGGACATTCTGGAAAAATCTGTGCCAGCCACCCCAGTTTGATTTTTGAAAGAACACAAGATCATAAAACAACCCATTTGTAAGTATCTAGCAAACAGTGAGACAATGTGAAACAAGTGGTGTGGATCTGTCAAGAACAAATCATGTCAAATGACTGCAATTTCTTTCACGGACAAGGCAACAAACCTAGAGGGTAAAAGGGGCTCCAAGGTTATGTTATACCTTGACACCAATAATGCTTTTGACACTGTTCCACAGGACACATTCATAAGATTAGTGTTAACAACCTGGATCACAGAATACAGAGTACGCATAAAGTTTAATGATGCTATCATGCTAGGAATATTTGCAAGCTCTTTGGAGGACAATAAGAAACCAAAATGATTTTGACAAAGTGAACAAACTGTAAAAATGGTAAAGATCAAAGTCAGTAGCACCAAGAAGAGCATTCTCTCAATTGGTTGTTTTAAATACAAAAGAGAATCCTAAGAAAGGACATTGGGTATCAAGACTTCCAATGCATAAAATTATATGAAAAATTGCTCTCCTTGGTCCTAAGTCGTAATTGCAAGGGGAAGAAAAAATTAACTTACTTTAAAGTATCAAAAATATATACCAAATAATAGTTTAGGTTTTTAAGGAAAGCTTTTCAACTGCAACAGTCCCCATTTTCTGACACAAGATTCCCTTGAGTGGTGCTTTTGAGAATTACAACAGATAACTATACAGTGGGGATTATGTAGATACATTTTATGATGCACCAAAGAATGAGTATGAACTGAATATTTTGGGGAGATTCTTCCCTGTTGTTCTATCATTCCTACTGTAAAATATTAAGTGATTTGCTAGACAACTGCTGAAAAAACCTGAGTGTAAACAAAAAAAAAATAAAATCACTATTGCATTTTGTTCTTGTTAAGGTGGAAATACCATGACAGCATCTTTGCTTGCAATTTTTTTCATATTTGACCTTTAGACCAGAACCTTTGAACACAGAAAAGAACAGTGTTAAAACAAGGTGTTTTAAAATATACCTTTGACAGTTTTGAAACTTTCCCTTTTATTTCTGTTTTGGGTTATTTACTTTTTATCGGCATTACTTCTTCCTACTGATAATAACTTCTTGTTTGAATAGGTTCTTTCATGTCCTTCGTAATATACTACATCACAGTAGAGATTATATCACTGAAAAAAACAAGACTGCAAGATTTGTATCTGGGAATGCATCCAGGTACTTTGGAGAAGATTTTCCAGCACATAATTAAGCTGTCTGTATGTTTTTGTGCTACACTACCTCATTTTGTCATGAATAGAAATGAGAGAGATGGGGAGAATTAAGGTAGAATTTGGAAGAAAATGATTCAGACATGTTAAACAATTTTTTTCTTGTGGAATATAGAACAAACACAACTAGAAAAGCACAGGAAAGTCATTTCCTTTGCGGATTTTTGAATACGCAGGCTTCTTTCTGATTTTATCCCAATTGTTTTGTAAAACCAAGCAACCCTTCTGAACCCCTAGGAAAGCTAAGGTTAAAATTGATAAGAGCAAAATAATTTCCTAAAGAAAAAAAGTACAAGATTTGTTTGGGGAAATAAAGGATTCATAATGAACCAAATCTGTTTGTTGCCTTGACAGGACTAGTTCACTATTCTCCCTACTGGACTACACTGAGTGATTTAGATGCGTCCTCAATAAAAGATACTGGGTAATCTGTAATTGTCAACATAGCACAGCTGGACACTGGAGGAATTATTTTGGGCCTTGCTACAAATGAGAAGAAATTAGGAGCTGACATTTACATTATCTAAGGTAGGAACAAGTATGTCTGTGATTAAATTCCATGTATATAACTGATTCAGGATGATTTCTTGCTAAATTAGAAAAACTCTGAAGTGAATGCAGTATTTTATAAAAACTTTGCTGGCTCTTGTAAAGAAGAGAAATTGCACTATCCAAGCAGGTTTAGCTCCAGAGACTGCAATTCTGCAGCTAGATTTCTTGGGGCATATCTCTCTTTTGGTGGATTTTATAACATCTATATCCTGAAAACACAAGACTGATTGCAGAGAAGCTCCTCCCAGCCACTTACACCTGCACTGCCACCTGAAAAAGTAGCCAGGTCTCTTGCCATTCACAGACTCATATTCCCACCTCTACGGCCTTTTGCAGGTGTGTGTTTCCTGATTTGGAAATATGAATACCATGAGCAGTATTTTAATGATATCAATGTTTCCATTGATATCAATTACATATTTTCAAAAAACTCTGAATGCACACTGTGACTTCTCTGAACATCTCTAGTTCAACTGACTTCCTAAGGGCTGTGATCTCAACAATTTGGAAAATTATTTTATGTATTTAGAGTGATCACTGTTTTAAAAGTCAATAGTTACCCAAAAGTAGTATCTGCAATACTGAGGATTTTTTTTTCCTTGTAGAAAGCAAAGCCAAACCCAAGATAACATCTGAAAAATTAACATATAATTATAATGTAATGTTTTGTATGTCAAAATACTTCCTAGATTTTGAAAATTTAAATCAGTGACTATTCCTTTTATATAATTTCATACAGTGATTACAAAGGAGGAAACTGACTTGGAGAGTTTCAGTGCCCTAAATCATAGGAAAATAACTGTTTTGTTATTCAAAGGGAAAAAAGGAAAAGCAAACTGATTCAGCTATATTACAGAAAAATTGTACACCATGAAGCTTCACAGGTACAGAGAGGCAAGCTCATTAATAAAGCTCATGGGACTTTAAATTATTTCAATTAGTTGAAGAGCACCAAAATATTTTGATACTTGTCAGTTTTAAAGGTGAGCTGTAAAGCTGAGAAATGGTACAATCCCAAATCATTTCAAGAACATGAGAAAATCATTAAATGATGCTTGTTTTAAAGGTACAGCTAGCTTTTTCCATTCTCACAACTAGGTGCAGTAGTCTGCTCAGGAATGTCATCTTATGCTGTAGTGTTGGCAACTATTACCAAATGAAAAAAAAAAACAAAAAAAAAAATGAAAATAATTTTTAACTAGTTCTTGGCAAATAAAAAAGTGAGCAACATTAAAAATGTTGCATATTAAGTCATCTGTAATTGCTAACACAAATTTCACTTTTTTCATATTTAAATTTTTTAAGTAATTTGAGTAATTTTTAAGCATTCGTGTAAGAAAGCCTGGTGTCTTATCAGGAGAGGACACAGTTCAGATTCCTTGCTCTTTATTCTTACTGTGTTGCCTTAAGATCTTGTGACATTTTAAGTAGGAGTATGAAAAAGCAGGGCACGTTGAGCAAAGCAGATTGTAATTGTTGTGGCATAAATTCCTATCAGAGTTCAGGTGAAAAAAAAATAAAAGTCTCCAAAAGCATCTTATGAATAAGTCAGATTTGTATGTCCTAAGAACTGCAGGAAAATATGTAAAGATTTTCAGTTTGGTTGTTCTTATAAAACACATTCAAAAGATCTGGCACAGAACATGTAAGCTACTTCAGTCACTGATGCTAGCACAGAGATTCAGCAAAACTGCAATGGCTAAAAAGTCTTTAAGTTATGGCAAAATCATTGCATTCTGGAAGACAAAAAGCTAAAAATCCTTTTTCTTTCAAAACAGAAATTCTGGCTGTTCATATGCAAAACCTGAATTGCCCTTCTTTACAAGATGTATAGGTTGTAATGCCACTAAGCTGATAGTAGTTCACACGAACAAAACTGGACACCCACAACCATAGCAGTCTTTCAGCTCCTTCCTTTGCCATCTAGCTTCTTTATTTAATTCTGCTTGCAAACCTGAGATTAGCATGCACCCCTCATGAAAGTCCCCCTTGTGAATAATGTAAAGTGATTCAATTTTGTTTAATATAACAATATTTGTGAATAACTAGAATGGGAATAAAGACCAAAGATTTGGGTATGAATATGCACTGAGGAATCTCCAAACTCTAGAGTTAAGCACTGTAGGGAGTTTGACAACAGCACTAAATACAAAGCACCTTGCTAGCTAAACAGTGGTGTTCACATCCTGATACAGCAACCTCACCTTAGCTGGAGGGCAAACAGCGAGTCTCCTAGAGAAATCAATTAGAATTTTGCAGTCAGAGCCTGCTCAAGCATATGGGTTTTCACTCATCAAGTATACCCAAATCATGTTCTTGCATAACTGACTGTTATTATAGCCTGTCTTTTGTCTCTGGTTATCCCCAAGTGCTCTGCCTAGCAGGCTGAAGTTGGAAGGACAAGGACAAGAAGTAGGGATGGTTCAAAGCCGCATTTTGACCAAACCCAGAAGTAGTCTTTCCAGACTAGGCTGGAAAATATGCTCCTGCCCTGCCACCAGGAATCTCTTTTCTTGCCCATGACAACTACCCTTTAGCTGATAGGCTTAGCTGGGCAATCAGCATCATATATGAGGGCACATTTCAAACTTTCTGATAATAGAGTGGCTATATCTTGGCCACCAAAAAAGAACTTTTGCTGTCTCTCAATAATGGTTTTACCAAATGGATCTATTTTGACTCAGATTGTCTTTTTATGTAATATAATGCTTGTAAGTTGTAGACTGCTCAGAACGGAAAGAATCAATTTATTTTTTTATCCTGTGATAGTCACTGAATTTTTTTTTTTTTTGTAGCAACACAAATAAATTAACAGCAAATCAGACATTACTCATTGCACTAAAGGCTGAGCTGCAAAAAAGCATCTTCCCTTAAACTAAACCTGCTACTAGTGCTCATTCTGATTGCTCATGCTTAAGAACATTTTTTTTCAAAAGAACTTACGTACAGATTACTTTTGGAGATATAGGTAAAATAAGGTTTGATTATTTTAACACTTGTTTGGAAAAATAGGGGGCATTTATGCTCGTATTTGATCAAATACAAGTTTGCTACCTGATCAATACTAACTTGGGGAATATTATTTTGAACTTATAAACATTTTTTTTTCAGGGGAAGTATCAGTTATCAGAGATGATAGCTCTCCTGATAATACAACACTATTAAACTGTCATAGGTTAAAATAGTGCATTTTGTCACTTAAAACCAAGGGAAACTGCCACCTCATTTATGAAGAAGAAATAGTAAAAAAAAAAATAAATTCAGAACCTAAAGGTAGGGCAATAAACGTGTGAAATTGCCTCTTAAAACATTCCTATTTATTTTTGCATGATCTGTGTTCTAGATCTTTTTATTCATACCCTGAAGTGGGCTAATTTAGACATATTTTAGAGTTGGCTGCCACCTGCTGGGGGTCTGCCCTTGTTTCTTTTTTAATGCAGTTTGGAGGAGCTACGGGAGGTTGCGTTTGTGGCTTAACTTTGTAAAGACGGTAATATAAAGTGTGGGTGCCTAAATGTATGAATGTAAGCATAGCTGATTTGAAAATATAACATACATGTCCCTGCCTGGTGAAATACTTTTAAAGGGTAATAAAAGACACCCTTCCTGCTACTTATTGCATGTAGGGTTATTATTCCCTAAATCAGCAAAAAGCTGATTATAAATCAAAAAAAGCTGATTATAAATAAAAGTTGAAACCACTGAGTAACTTCCCCCTAAGGCAATGCAAAACAGCCCAAACCTCCTTTCCTTTTACCAGCATGAAGAAACTGTATCTAAAATCATCTATTATTCAGTACAGTTTAACATCTACAAAAGCTCTGCATTATAATGACACTGCAAGAAATTTACCCAAGAGAATCTACCAGCAGCTAATGAAGACAGGCTACACTATGTATTATAAACAGCTGCTGCTTTGTGGACAATGATACCCAAAGCATTAGGGAAACTATCACATTCTTGGCCATTTGCAGAGTCATGGCCATACTTATTGAACAGAAATTCTTGTTGGATTTTTGGGTTTGTTTTTTTTTTTTTTTTTGAATTGTACGAAGCTGGTTGCCTAATACCCCTGCAGTCTACAATGCCAGTGTGATATCCAACATGTTGCTCCTATGGGACCCATTTTGCAGTCTGCTGTTCAGTAGGAGAAGCAGGAATCTTAAACTATTTCCAAAACTATGTTGTTAGTATTGGCTTTTAATTTTAAACCCAGCTATCCCACCCAACTAACCCTATCCCACCACTGTCTGCTTTCAGCCTGTAATATATAATAAACATACTGCTAGTGACACTTTCCAGAAAAGATAAAATTTGCGTATTAAATTTGATTGCAGTCAACAGTTTTAGTCTGTTTGAGTAACCCTTCAGAGGATGACAGAACATCATACTCAACAGGGAAGTGAAAATTGGGCTTTAGAACTGTAATCTTAGATTAACCCCAGGGCACTGTGAATGTTCTTACTATGTAAAGATAGCCCGAAAAAAAAAAAAACATAAATAAATCTCAGATAAAGTAATTAATGACCTCCTAGGTGAAAAAAGATGCAGAACCCTGTTAGGGTGGTGAGGCACTGGAATAGGTTGCCCAGGGACGTTGTGAATGCTCCATCCCTGGCAGTGTTCAAGACCAGGTTGGACGAGGCCTTGGGTGAGATGGTTTAGTGTGAGGTGTCCCTGCCCATAGCAGGGGGGTTGGAACTTGATGATCTTAAGGTTCTTTCCAACCCTAACTGTTCTATGATTCTAACTTGAGAATTTTCATTAACCAAGAGACATCCAAATCACAAATTTTAAAAGTGCTTTAAATTCTTAGAAGTAAAAATCTGTTTTTCAGGTGCCTAGATTAACTAAGATAATCTTCCAAGTGTAGCACTTCACGTCAGCAGCAGCTTTGTTCCACTGTAGTGAACACTTCTCTATGTAGGAGCCTCCTTTTCTACGGTGTGATGGGTCTACTTTGGCTGAAAGCCAGGTTCCCACTCTCCTTCCTTAGGTGGACACAGAGAGAAAAATAAGTTTAAAGGCTTGTGGGTCTAGATAAGGACAGGTAGAGCACTCCACAACAATTACCATCATAGGCAAACAGATTCGACTTGGGGAAAAAAATCAATTCCATTTATTACCAATAAAATCAGAGTAGGATAATAAAAATAAATACAAATCTTAACACATACAAACACCCCTCCTTTCTGGGCTCAACTTCATTACAATTATCCTTACCTCTTCCTACCAAGCAGTGCAAGGGGAAGGGAAATGGATAGCAATTACCATGCAACTGTTACAAGCTAGTGCTAGGTATGCTGGCACTAACTGCTATATACTTGTGTTAGGCAAAGATGACATACATTACTACATCTCCCTGGTGGAATGTCACATAATAGGATTCTATTATGCTGCCAAGTAATTCCTACTAAAAAAAAAAAAAAAAGAAAAAAAAAGGAAGGAAAAAAGGTATCAGTAAGAGTTGTCAGCTGAGTTAGAACTTGTTGTAACTTCTTTCTGCACTCAGAAAGCACAAATGCAGCTTTAATCCGCAGATAGATTATGTATAATATTTTATTTTATTGTTGAATTTACAATTGTAATAATATTTAAGCAAATGTCTTCTGTTGCATCCCTGATTTCTTGGTTTTGTTTTTGTTAAATGTGTCTTTATAAAAATTTAAGGTCTATGAAATTGCTGACCTTTTTAAAAAAACTTGGTTAAGGGAAAATGCTCATTTGTAAAATTGCACCAGCAGTACCATGAGAGCTGCCACTAATTATCTATGTTTTTCACTTAGTGTGTTATTTGTGTGTTAAATTTATATTAAAAAGACTTTGTTGTTGTTGTTGGACATTATTTGCAGATGGTATTTTCCATACTAAAGCATGTCTACACTGTGGTTTAGAGAAATTACACACTAGTTTCAGACACCCTAGCAGCAGCAGTACAGAGTAACTCCTAAACTAACTTTCAGGGTATTACTAAAAGAGCCTGATATTTTTCTTTAAAAACCTGTTACAGAGAGACATGCCTTGCGAGTTGTGATTGTAGTCACATTCAGGGACATTGTGTGATTGCTTCAAATTAAAGAAGCTAGCAATCTAGGAGTGTAAACAAACTTTAATGCTATGAATTTCTTACTTTATTAGCTCTTTTATTATTTGAGGAAACATTATCTGAAATTATCACAGACCTCCTTTTCCAGTGTGAGTTTGTGGCTCTTCTCTTCTTACCTTTTGTATGCACAGTAAATTCTCTTTTAGTCAACCATCTAACCCATCCGAGAAATTGGGATATTTTTAGTAGAAGTAGGCAGAAAGTAATTGATTATTTTCACTTCTGCAGTCTTTGATTAAAGACAATGTGCTTAAGGGGGAAAGTCAACAATCATTCCTAAACATATACAAGCATTTAATTGTAGTAATTAATTTATCTATACAAAGCAGTGTACTTTTAGAAAGCTTCTTGGCTGACAAAGAATGCCTCATGAGTCTTAAATATTACAACCTGGAAGAACAAGTGAAGTCAATAGAATAACAAACAATACTGCAGAAATCTCAGTCACTTGCAGGAGAAAAAAACTTCAACTCTGTGCAGCGCAAAATTATGAAGAATTTGACAAATAAAGGCAGCAGAAGTAACATCAACTGATAGAGACACAAAAATTAAGTACATCGTTGTATACTTTGACATGTAAAAGAAAAAGCAGAGAAGACTCGAGTTGTAATTATGGAAACAATTTCGTAAGAGAGTTTGAAGAATGCACTAGTTATGGATCCCAATTTTATAAATGTCATATTCCCCATCAGTTTATCTGTTCGCTACAGGCATGTATTGCTGTCAGAATTTGAGTCAAAGGCAGCAGCTAATGAAAAACAAACATCCAGGCAGTAAAGACAGATGAGCAGCAATGTCATATAAACAGCTTCAACAGAATCAATGTTACAATGGCTGTGCCATTAGCTGAGAATGCTAGAGAAGCCTTTGCTGTCTCCAGGCTTTCAAGGGCTGTCCTTCCTATAGATGACAGCCCAAATACTGGAGGGAAGCAAGCTTAAAGTATATTGGTCTCAGGAAAGAGGAATGATCACATTACAGGTTATCACCAGGTGACTCCAAACTGGAAATGTTACATAAAGAAAGTACTCTAACAGCAAAAAAAAAGATGATGTGGAAAGAAAATGAGGTATTGATGACAAAGATATTGGATGGACTCTTTGGGAGAGACTGAGGGAAACAAATCGGTACAGAAAGGACTGTCTCTAGTAGAAACAGATTTCTGCCCATTTAAAAGAGGTATCATTTGGCTGATTTTAATCAAGTCTGATCAGAGCCTTCTTAACACAGACAGTAGATAGGTACAAATATGCCGTGAAAGTGGAACACCACAAAAAGGGGCTACATTTCTGCAGCAGCATTTGAGTTCTTAATCTACAGGGTTTCACCTAGAATTTAATGTAACCACCTATGAAGTATGCCCAGGAGAGACCAACACGGTCTAAGACGTAGCTCAGTGATAAACATACTCTCTCACAAGAAACTTTTTTCAGCAGGATTTACTGCACAGCTTACATCTTTTTCCTCACAGGAAGAAGAAAGAATTATGGAGAACAAAACCACAATGGAAATGTTCTGAAAAATACAAAAGAAGTGCTTTATTACCTAGTTGTATGCTTCCTCTAGTTTCTCAATGACACCAAAATCCTTGATATTCACTTTTACTCAAGTGTGACATGTAATGCCTGTGAGGTTAGTCAGATAACTATTGAATTTCACTTCCTCACATAATCAGAAATACAATGATATAGAGACAATATATTAGGAAACATGATTTAGATGTCAATCATGTGTGGTTGGCCATTTTTAGCTTTTAAAGTTAAATAAAGTAGTATGAATTTCTGAGAGAGACAGAAACATTTAGGTTCATCTAGAAGAGAATACAGGATTCTTTAAGGTTTTTCAAAATAAGAATTTCAGCCAAGTGAATTGTAGGGTATTTTCTTAAAGTTCTTCTATGAAAGGGAATGCCTGAGTGATATTGAGTTTGCAGTGCTGTAGATACTCATGCATATTTGTAGTCTTCCTTTCTCTTGATATAAGAGTTGTTAATATTTATAACATCTGTTGTAAATATCCAGGGAAATTCTTAGGATTCCCTGAGGAGAAAAAGAAAAAAGGAAATACATTTTTTCCCGCAAGAGGCAGAACTGCTGCTGCAGACAGCTGGCTGAAATTATTCCCAGAGTCTTCTGAATCCAGTCCCAAGGTGAATCCCATCACCTGATCCAAACATGACTTAGGTCCTGGTTGAGGGCATTACTTCAGATTTCTTTAAAACAATGCAAAAATTCAGGATTCCTGAGTGTGAAGTCTAGACGTCATTGAAGTCCTTCATTAGTATTTTTTTTTTTTTATTTATTTTTTGGTTCTATAGTCTTTCCCAGTATGGTTAAAAGATTCATATGTTGAGGTTTTCATTATTTTATGTCATCAAAGTTTAAGTACAGACCTAATGATCCCTGTCATTACAGGCTGCATTTGCTGAAACAGTATGCCAGAAGGTAATAAATGTGCTCGACAAGAGCAAGGACAGTGTTCCTTCCTTGTGCACAAGTTCATGTTCATGTGAAGCTGCAGAGCTAACACCATTGATGGTAGACCACAGGATAATAATAGCAATGTAGATGTATCACATTAATCTAAGTGAAGAGACGTGTCACAGATCTCTGAATGTACCTTTGAAGATAACCGAGAACTACTATACTAAGATCAGGTGCAGCAGGACTTCTACAATATGTAACAGGAGGAAAGATGATGCAGTTAGGAAAAAAATAAATCAATGCAAGAAGCAGCAGCCTTATTTGTTAAATTCCAGGCAGGCTGATGGATGATGATGAATGACAGAACAGATTAAATGCTTTCAATTATTTTATTGTGCCTACAGGCAGGTATCTAGAACTTTCATTTTACTTTTTCTACTCAATTTAGGTTGAATATAAACCATAATAATGAAGCTGATACTGAATCAATTAGACATTACTGAAATTGTTAACTAAAAAAAATAAATACAGAAATAATAAAATAAAGACTTATAATTCAGCTTGGCCTGGTACCAAAACTTCATGTAAGTATTGCATTAAAATGGAGTACTGAAAATTCAGCAATGACTAGATAAAATATAGAAATGTAAGCAGAAAAGCCATTCCTTTCCTTGTATCAAGAAAGATGCACATACAGCAATTATTAAATTGCCAGTGAGAAAATCAGCCACTGAACAGATGTTTTTCTTCTTTGTGAGTGAGAATAGATGTCTGATCTAATGGGCTGAGAACTAGAAAACAGCAAAAGGCACGTGTAAAACTGGAAGAAAAGAGAATGATTTTGCTCATATTTAGAATAGGGCAAAATAAAATAGCTCTTCTGAAATCTATTATATTGGGTAGCATAAAACAGATTGTAAAGAAGTTGTTACCCATTAGCCAAAGCAAAGCAAAGCAAATATTAACTCAGCAACATATTTCATGTAAATAACTTCCAATTAGTATTTTAATGGTATCTTTAAAAATATTTTCTGAAATAATTTCTGTAATTTGCAATACTTTCCATATATATTATTTATATATTGATTCATAAACGTTTTTATTATTTGCTTGATTTGAATTCTAAACCATGCTTTAATTTCTGGAGCGCATTTGTATAGATTACAAACTACTCTTTCAACACAGTATTGTGACATTGAGGACTTTTTTCCTTCTTTATATTCTGTCCTGAATATTTTCTGTTTTAAGCCTCTGTAATTTCCATGCGAAATTGTCACAAATATACTCTGTGCACAGAAACTGTCATCTACTCATTCTGAAAGCAACACAAGAGAATTTTCTACAAAGCCTTGGGAGAAGAGGATACAAACTTCCCTGACCTTGAAGAGTTAACCAGACCCCAAAACCCTTAAACAATTAGTGAGGTCCTTACACATGGAGAGATGCCATGTCCAATTAAAAATGAGTCCCAGCTGTGAGTACCCACTAATAAAGGGCTTTGGGAGTAAGAAAAGCTCTGAGTCTTCTTAAGAGACAGGAGTATTGGGGTAAGGTGAAAGGGTTTGTTATTAAAACAAATGTGTATTTTGTTCCTGAGTTATATACTGGGAAAAATACATAAAGGTCTTTCTGAGGAAACTTAAATGAAGTTATTAAAGTCTGAATCCCAGGCTGAAGACCTGGTGTTAAATTTCAGACTTACTATGTGTGGAAAAGCTGTAGTGTCAGAAGTCAACTATGGCTCGACCAGCTTCAAGGGAAGGAAAGCTGTTATTGAAGAGTAGCTGCTAAGGGAAATGCTTGGCTTTGTGGTGCCCAGCTGTTTTGCAGTGTACTTTGTGGTGAGTTCTCTTTACACAAATCTATATGCACTAGCTTATAAAATTGTTGCAAGTTATGTGTTGGGTTTTTTTAAAGGTGTTACAATTATATTGAAGGCTGAGATGCTTACTTGTGCTGTAATGTGCAGAGATTGTGAAATAATGAATCCAAACTATAATCTTTTACCTTCAGAGAACTGTCTTCATTTAAATATGCTTCCCCATACTTTCAGCAATAAAGCTGGGAGTTCTGTTCTGTGGATGCTTGATTTCATGGCACACTTTAGTTATCAGTCTTCTGGGTAATGTTAAGACTGGACAAAACTACAGCTGTATTTGTTTTTATAGGTAAGGCAGTATCCATCTGATTCCACTGCCTTTCAAATAGTAAGCGAAAGACAATTTTTAGTCCTGAAGACTAGTGAAATTATCAACTTCTAAGAAATTTGAGGGACTAAATACCCTGCTTGGTGGGATGGGGGAAGAAGTGCAAATTCAAGTTTCCTTCTCTTTCAAGCTGTTACTTGACTAGGTAGCAAGCAGTAAGTACTTGAATAAAGCAGCATCCAATTTTTGGTAGCTGTAAAAAAGAGGAATCCAGAAGAGAAGGGCTGCTCTTAAGGTGAGAAGCAGCAGTAAATAACATAAATTCCTGCTGTGATATTGGGATATGAGTATTCCGAGTAGACAGACAAAACTCCTGTTGGAGAACTCTAATCCTAGCAGGAAGGAAGTAATTCACCAAAAATGTGTGACAAGTGCCTGAAAGATTAGCAATAAACTCATGTTACGCAATCCCTGTACTTCATATTCTGTTCATGCTTTTAATATAGTAAAAAGGATAAAACAAAATAAAAAGCTAATTAACTATAAGATATTTGGATTTGTTTCTTTTTATTTTCAAGATCACTCTTCCTAGTTTTTGAGAACATATTGCTCTTATTTTGAATTTTATTGATTTACACTAATATTGATGTTCTATAACAGAGGTAAATTTAGGTGTGCCATGTGTGAAAAGCACTACTTTTAACGCAATACTTCACTAAAAGGCAGTTGTGTTTATGAAAATTGAATCTTAATGCCTGTAGTTTGGGCTGAATTCTGCTTGAGCTTTTGATTTTGCCATGATAAAAATCTGCCGCAGTCCTGAACTGCATCTATTCCCTTTCCTCGTCTCTACGCTATTTCTGACTGTTGTAATAAGTGAAGTTACTTCAGAAATGCTATTGTAAAAGCCATGTTCTGGCCCTGTATTGCTGACAGTTGACCAAAAGTGATGTTGGTTTGTGTAAAGAGAAAAAAACACTTCAGTATAACAGAAAAGTCATGGGAAATCTGTAAGGGGCTGGGAGGTCAAACTTAATTCTGGTTGCTTCCAGCTGGCTTCCCACTGTGTAGGCTGCTGTGAGAAAACTTCCAAGAAGGATGAAGTTTGGGACAAAATGGAACACTGTATACACAGTACATTCATGTCTTGCCATGCTTATGCAATGCTTTATATTGGAATATAGATAGGAAACAGCTGGCCCATATGACACAGCTAATGTTTGGGATCTGCTTTGCAAAAACTAACAGACCAAGAAGGTCTGTGTAAAACAATTGTCCTAACCTGTGCACAAACCTTGTGATGCTGAATTCTTAATAACAAAATAACTTTTTTTTTATTTTTTATTTTTCTTTTTTCCCCATGAATTTTAGAGATGAGTGAATTGTATCTTTAGGCACTGAAACTCCTGAGAAGAAACAATAAAAACAAAATGGTTTAATTTTGTGAAGAACTGTTACACTGGAAGCTAAATCCTTATACTTGGAAAAGCTTCTATAAGAAAGTCACTATTCAGTGGTATTTTATTTTATTTCTTGTTTGAAAAAGATATAATTTGCTTAATGAGCACATCTAACTCATCTTTGATCCTAACTTGTTAGAGTAGCTAGCTTCTTTTAATACTTATCAGAAATATCATGCAAACCATCTGTTTAATCACTATTGAGAAAATGCTATTCTAACACAAGCATCTAATGTTCATTTTCAAATAGATGTTAATTTGAAAACCAAAGGATTTATGCATAAAGTCTTTTACTTGTGTAAAAGACAAATAAGTCTGGAGCTGAGAAGCAGTATGTATTTTACCAAGTTCATTTCAGCAACAAGTTGTTGAGAAATTAGGTCTCCATGAATAAAGTGTATTTTAACAAGAGTATTGTTGCTTCTGTGTGTGGCGTCTGGCTTGGCAGCTCCCTATCATGACAACAAAAAACCATATCTAGGCTGGTTGAGAGTTTTTCTTCTGCCAGTTTCTTGGGCTACAGAAACCTGGGAGAAACAGGTTGAATTAAGGTTCATTTCTTTGCCTGTCTTCTGATAAATTTGACAGAATAATTAGGAAGTTAGATGAAGCTTGTCATTGTGTCAGACTTGGGATCCTCATTCCTCAGCAGCAAACTAAGGGAAGGAAGTACTAATTAGCGTTCCTATGGAAAATTGTAGGGATATGGGAAACACAGACGACTGCAATAGAGGGCTTTATGATTCTTAGGAGAAAATAGAACAGTAGACAAGAAATAATTATATATATATATATATATAAATGCACACAGTAGAGCTGGGCACAGGAATTTTCTATTTGTTTCATGTTGTGTATGATTTCTCTGAGTGCAATTCTTTGTCTTGGACTATACTGACAAATAGCAAAGGCATAGCATCCCAAAATGCAATTTGTGAATAAGCTTTCTATTATGAAGCTGATGAAATGTAACGAGTCTCCTAATGTTGCATTCTCATTAACCTTTCTCAACTTTTGTCTTTCTCCCGTCCCAGTAGCTGTTTGTAAACATGTCAGTGACGCACTCCTTTATTTTGTTGAAGCCCATTTTTTGTTCTTTCCTTAAAATGGCTTGTGCACATGCTCTTCAGAAAGCACAAGTTAAATTTTAGCTTGCAGCTAATAAGTGTGGTGATACTGGAGAGAGAAAAGACAACTCTTCACTAGCAAATATGGTTTTCTCAGCACTCAAAATCCAGCTGTGGGCATGCTGTGAGCTACCTAGAAAATATCTTGCTCAGGATCTGTAAACTTAATAAATAAACCCCTTTCATCTCCTGTACTCTCAAATAATAAATATCCCTTATGTGTTACCATTCCTTGGGCACAGTATGATGCTGTAGTCCTAGGAAGTATAAACCATCTTTCTTCTGTCCCTAACTACCCACCTGGGTATTATCTGAATATCATGATATCCTAGGAGATTTCAAGCTGGATCTTTCCACACTGGTTATGTATCTGACAGAAGACTAGAAGCAGTTAACTCTATGGAATATTTCCTAGGGAAAATAAATATAAAAATTAAAAAAACAACCTAAAAATAGTAAACCTGTCTCATTTTACTGATAAAACTGTTTAAAGAGCACAACAGTTTCTGCAAAATAGTTCGGTGTGTACGTTTGAAGATCAAGCTTAGAACAGCGCTAAGCATCATTCACAAACTGTAGGGTCCTGTTAGTAGTCATGTGTCATTCAAAGATGTTTCTTCTCCAGGACTAAAAGGGTGAGACAAATAAATTAATCTCCTGTACTTCACCTCATTGGTAGCTTCATAAGGCTTTGCAAGAATACACAAGTGGGTTACATGTACATTTCTACAACAGATTCTTTGTTTTTAGAAGAGAATGCTTTATAAATAATTCAGAAACCAGCTAGGTTCTAATCTTGGTCTGTTTCAAGCTGTTAGTGAAGCCTGTTCCTATTTTTTCTTTTTTCCTGGTTTGTTTGTTTGGGTGGTTTTTTTTTTTTGTTTGTTTGTTTTATTGTTGTGTATTTGTTTTTTGAGGGTATGTTGGTTTTTGATTTTTTTTTCTTTAACTTCATTTAAGTATATTTTCCAACAAAATATTGAAGGTTCAAGGAAAAACAGAGAAATAAGTAGTCTTTCTGCTTTATGCGTTCTCATTTAAGTATTAATAGGTTAGAGTTAAGAATTAAAAATTTCACAGGCCTTAAATGGGCTGCTGAAGAAGCTTCTAACGGGGCTTTAAGAAGTGTATTGCAGCAATCTTGCCACTCGATGTCACTGTTAGTTCTACTTTCCTGTTCGAGGTTCAACACCATGTCAGCGCATCTCTTGAAACGCCTCCATACCGGTTACAATACACTAGTTACTCTGAAGTGGTCTGTGAAGAAAGGCAGGGACACGTAAATCTGTTTGGGAGGGGAGGAAATGAGTTTCTTTTCCGTCCTTTTCCCCTTGCCCCTGTCATGTGAAGAATCAGGAGCCGCTACTGATTCATTGTATGAAACAATTCTGACCTTGCTCCTAGATGAAGTATAGATTGTCACTTCTCTTTTTGCCTGTGACTGACTGACTGCTGCCAGCCAGAGAAAGTGAGGCTGGCACACGTGGTTTCTTGGGATTTAAGTATAGTTTAAGTGACTTGTTCTCAGAGTGCTGTTTGAGCAAATGTTTAAGCACTAAAACAAATATGAATTCTGAACTAAAGCATTTCTGCTTCTAAAGAAATTTGAACACATTTCTTAAATAAAGGTGCTTGTAAGCATGAGTTTGGCTTATTTAATTAACCTAATCTTATGCAGGGAGGAGAACTATGCAGAGAAACAGGGGTGTTTGGAGGGTGTAGGGTGTGTGAACAAGGGACTAAGGCTTCTAGATGACACTTTAAGCTTCCGCACTTCAATGTTATATCTAATAATTCAATACAAGCCTTGAGTCTTCATTAAGGAATCATAACCTAGAGCTTCATAACTTCGTGTTGATATTTTTCTTTATAGCTGATTCTTTTCTGGCCACCTCTGTTTTATGAATGACTGTACCCTTGTCAGTCAAAGAAATATGGACTTTGATGGTTTTGCAGAGCCTTAGTGGAAAAAAAAAGTATATAACAACGTTTGATCAGAATAATCGATGATTAAGTGGCTGTCATTTGGCTTCTGAAGCTTTTCAAGTTGGGGACCAAAATGCTGTATTGCAAGAAAATTTTTAAAGCCATTATGCAGTGAATCCCAGCAGCAAGTCCATGAATACCAAAATACATCTTGGAACTATTTGCTTTCTTCTAATACTATCAAGTCATATATTTGTACTTATATGTGCCTGCTAAAAGTGATGTTGAAACAGACTTGAGTAGAAACAATCTTTTTTTATTGATCTTTTGGACTACACATACTTATGTATCTAACTTACCAGCTAGCTTGTTCTAGTCATTTAGTTTCATGGGAAATTTCCTGAGGGTAAGGTTTTGTTGTAATCAATGCCAACACTTCTCATTTATAAATAGACCTGCATGCATTGTAGATAACATGAAAAATATTAATTGAAATCATCA